GACAGGTAGGTGGTCTTGGTTGCCAGTATGATGTTTTTCAGAGTATAGTCCTAGCTTCCCAGACAACTTTTGTTTTGAGGTCTAAAAAAAATGATCCCAAATGGATGAACAACAGATTAAAACATCTTACTGGTCAGAAGAGAGGCATATATAGGCGTATCAAAAGAGGGGATGGACAGTTATGAAATCAGTATATTCAGTTAATGAGAGAAATAAAAAAAAGGAATAAGAAAAGCAAAAAGGGATTATGAGGCTAAGGTTGCAAGAGATTCTGAGACTAACCCAAAAGGGGTCTTTCAGGTATATAGACTTAAGATTAGGGACAAGATAGGCCCACTTAAGAGTAACTCAGGTCAAATCATAGTAGGAAAATTTATGGAATAAACAATTGTTGAGGCAATTCGTAGCCATCATGAAAGGAATAAATTGATTAATGAATCTTAACACGGTTTTACAAAGGGGAGTTCCTGTCTTACGAATTTACTGTTTTTTTTTTTTTTCACTAAGATATCTGAGGAGGTAGATCATGGTAATTGAATATGACATTGTGTATATGGACTTCAGTAATGCTTTCGATAGATTTGCACATCAGAGGCTATTGAGGAAACTTAAGGCACACTGAATAGGAGGAGAAATTTTTTCCTGGGTAGAGGCATGATTGACAAATAGGCAGCAGAGAGTTTGCATAAATTGGAAAAAATGAGAATGGGGGCACGTCACAAACGGTGTTCCACAAGGGTCAGTGTTGGGCTCCTTGTTGTTCACAATTTACATAAACAACATAGATGAGAGAATAAATAGCGAAAAAAACATATTTGCTGATGACACTAAAATAGGCCGTCCAATTCATTCTAATTTGGACATTAGAGCACTCCAGGATGATTTGAATAGAGTGATGCAATGGTGAGAGAAGTGGCAGAAACAGTTTAATATAGACACATGCAAAGTTATAAATATTGGACAGAAAAATAACTTTGCCACATATAATCGAAATAATGAAGACCTTAATATTACTGATTGTGAAAAGGATTTGGGAATTCTCGTCACCAGTAATTTGAAACCAAGCAACAGTACATAAGTGTTCGTAATAAAGCTAAAACCCTTGATTTCACATCAAGAAGCATAATTAATAGAAGTCCTCAGGTTGTTCAACTCTATATATCCTTGGTTAAGCCTCACTTGGATTATGCTTGCACAGTTCTGGTCACCGTATTACAGAATGGATATAAATGTACTGGAAAACATACAGAGGAGGAAGACAAAGTTGATCCCATGTATTAGAAATCTTCCCTGTGAGGATAGACTGAGGGACCCTGAATCTGCACTCTCTCGAAAGGCGTAGAATGATGGTGGATATGACTGAGGTGTATAAAAGGAAAACAGGAATAAATAAAGGGGATGTAAATGGCGTGGTGAAAATATCTAGCCAAGACAGGACTCGCAGCATTGGTTTCAAGTTGGACAAATTCAGATTCAGGAAGGATATAAGAAAGCACTGGTTTGGTGATAGAGTTGTGGATGAGTGGAATAAACCCCCGAGTACCGTCATGGAAGGTAAAACGTTGTGTAGTTTTAAAAATAGGTTAGAGAAATACATAAGTGGGTGTGTGTGGATGCGAGTTGGACCTGACTAGCTTGTGCTATTAGGTCTGATGCCGTGCTTCTTCCTTAATTGGATGTGACCTGACTGGGTGGGTCATTGGTGTGACATGAACCTGCCTGTCATGGTCCAGTAGGTTTATTGCAGTGTTCTTCTTTCTTATGTTCTAATGACTATCAGGCAGGACTACAAATGGATCTGAACAGGCTGCATGCCTGTTCCAGCAGCTGGTTCCTGGAGTTTATCCCCACCAAATGCAAAGTAATTAAGATTAGGGAAGGGGCAAAGAAGACCACAGAGAAATGAAAGCTATGGGGCTAAATACTACAAATAACTGCTGCAACATATGGGCGCCTGGCAAACCTGAGAATAGCGTTCTGACAGCTCGGTAAAACATCGTTCAGGACTCTGTACACCGTGTATGTCAGGCTCATATTGGAGTATACACCACCAGATTGGAACCCACACCTGTTCAAGCAAATCAGGAAATTAGAGAAAGTGCAAAGGTTTGCAATAAGATTAGTCCTGGAGATAAGGGGCATGTCCTACGAGAAGATATTGAGGAAAATCGACGACAATGGAAGACAGGAGGGACATGATACAGCAACAAGGGGTCACAATTGGAAGTTGAAGAATCAGATGAGTCACAGGGATTTTTAGAAGTATTTCTTCAGTTACAGAGTTGTCAGAAAGTAGAATAGTCTTGAAAGTGATGTAGTGGAGGAAGGATCCATACATAGCTTTAAGAAGAGGTACGATAAAGCTCATGTAGAAGGGAAAGGACCTAGTAGCGACTAGTGAAGAGGAGGGGCAAGGAGCTATGACCCGACCCCTGCAACCACATGTAGGTGCGTACACACACACACACACACACACACACACACACACACACAAACATTCGCAGAATGATTCTGAGATTTGATGCAGGAGCAAGAAGACACAACTGGAAGTTAAAAACTCTGAGTCATAGGGATATTAAAGACCCCCGCAACTCCATATAGGTTAGTACGTATAGGTGAGTACACATACACACATACTATCGACAAGTGCCTCTGACAACCAGTTACTAACGCATCAAGCCAAGTAATAAGTAATGACATTATCATTTCCTTCTCTGTTGAAAAAAGTCGTTATAATTTCAAAAAAAAAAAAATAAAATATAGGAAAAGTATCGATATTGTTATCTGCCGAAAACTGGGTATCGTAGTTGGTACTGGCAAAAAATTCAATATCGTCACATCCGTTGTTTTGAAGGTTCTCATTATCCATTATATTAGTTTTGTATGCATGATCGTATTTGTCGAAGGCTTTTGCAATGTCTGCGTAAACAACATCTGCATTCTGTTTGTTCTTCGGTGTATCCAAGACCATGACATAGTGGTCCAGTAGGTGTGAGAGGCAGGATTATTATCATAATCAAAAGGAAGAGCTAAACCTACCAGGGTCATACGGCGCTATGTGAGAGGCAGGAGCGATCTGCTCTAAGCCTATAGTGCCCTGGTTGTTGGGAACCAAAGTGGTTGGCGATCTTGCTTCTTTGAAAGGGTTCTAAGATTTTTATGTGTAGCGTTAGTTCTCCCTGTCTGTAATCATGTGCTATTGTTTTGGTGCTACCTTTGTGGAATATTATATCCGTTGTTTCTAGCGACTGTATGAAGACACCGTGTACAGGCTTCCTGAAGATTGAGACACTTATGCAGCATATGGGAATCTTTATTCAGGAAACGTTTCGCCACACAGTGGCCACTGTGTGGCGAAACGTTTCCTGAATAAAGATTCCCATATGCTGCATAAGTGTCTCAATCTTCAACTTGTCGGTTTTTCAAACCATTCATCACAACAGGCTTCCTCTCCATAGAATGCTTAAGGCACGCAAAGGAGTCTCATTCAGTTCTTCATGAACGGGGTTCCACCAGCCTGAGCCTAGGGCAGAGTACTTAGACATGTAGTCATGACTTTCTCCGAGGTCCAGTGGTGTCAGGACCGTGTCAGAAGTTTTCGACGTATTGAAAGGTACGAGTCTCGTTAATAAAAAAAAATCATTCAGGCTGCCGAGGTTTAGTTTGATTAACGGTTCATTTAAATTGTAAATTTGGTTTGTCACTGACATTATTAGTATTAATATTATTATAAATTCATAGATAAGCGAAAAACTCGTAGTGGTTACACAACGTCTGGGAAATAGGACGTAATATGCTTTGATCCAAGACAAGGGAGGGTAACTCAAAATTCATAGCGCAATAGCACTACTTCAGAATCACAACTTGATGGAATTTTATCTGATGAATGTTATTTTTTCCACCTCATAGCTAAGATCCTTAGAGTTCTTTTTTCAAAGTCCTTAGGGAAATTTTTATGTTAAATGTCTTGTCAATTACAGCATCCACCATCATAACAAACAATAAAGTTGTAGACACTTGAAAAGATAAGAAATCTCATATTCAGAATATGTGCCGTATGATTTTTTGGTTATCAATACGGGTTCATTTCCAACATTTCTGATAAGTAACCTATAACATTGCAACCAGAACTTTAAAAGGTGCATTGGGATTGTAGGAGAAGTGTGACTAAAATAAGCATGCCAAAAAAAAAAAAAACATAATTTTTTCCTCAAGGAGGCCTGGTCACAGACCGGGCCGCGGGGGCGTTGACCCCCGAAACTCTCTCCAGGTCAACGCTTGTAGACTATTAAAATCTTTCCTGGATGTCAACAGAACACCTTCGCAATATACGTACGACTACCAGTGTCCATCAGAGGCTTATGTTAAATCACATTCACTCGCCATGAAGCTACAATTACTGTTGGAAGGACATTGATAGACATTCTACACAGTTAACACCTTGACAGTTTTCCAAGGATTAATTTTCAGCGACCTGTACGCCTAACCAACTTCTTGTTCCCATTGACACCTACGCAACCAAAAAATTAGTAAACTTTCTCCAGGACTAGTAGTGGAACCGAACGCCTATAGTTCTGGTATGTCGATAGCCTATATAAGGGATCAGAGGCTATTAATATTAATTTTAGTTTTCACTTTTGGCTTCGTCTTAGGAATATTACGGTGAAGGAAATTTTATCTGGACTAAATAATCTCGCTCTAAAAATTTTATCTCCAAGGGAAAACATTGTTTAAATAATGAATCCATTACACCTATGCGCCTTTGTTTTGTGAGAAGATGAAAACAGTAAGTAACGTAAAATAAATCAGAGATGGTACAATAAGTCAGTAAGTGTAATACTATTGTGGATTAAATCTAAGAGCTTCCACAATATATAATAAGTCAAATATGAATTGCCAATAGATAATTAATTGAACAATGAGCCTAGTACAAGAGAACATCTTGTCTAATATTCAATGATGTCGTGTAATCCTAATGCCAAGATTACCTTGTCCTCCAGGTGACACCAAGGAGAGATACTGACCGTCCGTGGAACCTTCACTAAGATGATGTACAGATCTTTCGTTTCAACTTCATCAATATGCTGTAGTGACCATGGCAAGACAGGGAGCTTTTCTACACTTCTGCAATAATCATTAAAAATGCATCAGTTATCATATTTTCCTGAGTAAAAACCACGTGCAAAACTTTCACTGCTGAGAATCTGTGAATGCGAGTGACAGAGCTATTTCATTCCTCACTCCTATAAAATCTTATTTTACAGAAGTGATGTCTAAAATGGGTAAAGGTAACATACATGTCATCGTACATAATTTAATAAGGTAACGGATTCATGATTGTATTGTATATATATATATATATATATATTATATATATATATATATATATATATATATATATACATTTTTTTTTTTCAACAAGTTGGTCGTCTCCCACCGAGGCAGGGTGACCCAAAAAAGAAAGAAAATCCCAAAAAGAAAATACTTTCATCATCATTCAACACTTTCACCACACTCACACATTATCACTGCTTTGCAGAGGTGTTCAGAATACAACAGTTTAGAAGCATATACGTATAAGATACACACATTCCCTCCAAACTGCCAATATCCCAAACCCCTCCTTTAAAGTGCAGGCATTGTACTTCCCATTTCCAGGACTCAAGTCCGACTATAAGAAAATAACCGGTTTCCCTGAATCCCTTCACTAAATATTACCCTGCTCACACTCCAACAGATCGTCAGGTCCACGTATCATTCGTCTCCATTCACTCCTATCTAACACGCTCATGCACGCTTGCTGGAAGTCCAAGCCCCTCGCCCACAAAACCTCCTTTACCCCCTCTTTCCAACCCTTTCGAGGACGACCCCTACCCCTCTTTCCTTCCCCTATAGATTTATATGCATTCCATGTCATTCTACTTTGATCCATTCTCTCTAAATGACCAAACCACCTCAACAACCCCTCTTCTGCCCTCTGACTAATGCTTTTTTAACTCCACACCTCTCCTAATTTCCACACTCCGAATTTTTCTGCATATATTTACACCACACATTGCCCTTAGACAGGACATCTCCACTGCCTCCAACCGTCTCCTCGCTGCTGCATTTACCACCCAGCTTCACACCATATAAGAGTGTTGGTACTACTATACTTTCATACATTCCCTTCTTTGCCTCCATAGATAAACGTTTTTTGACTCCACATATACCTCAACGCACCACTCACCATTTTTCCCTCATCAGTTCTACGATTAACCTATCCTTCATAAATCCATCCGCTGACACGGATATATATAATATATAATATATATATATATTATATATATATATATATATATATATATATATATATATTATATATATATATATATATATATATAAATATATATATTTATTTATTATTTTATTATCACACTGGCCGATTCCCACCAAGGCAGGGTGGCCCGAAAAAGAAAAACTTTCACCATCATTCACTCCGTCACTGTCTTGCCAGAAGGGTGCTTTACACTACAGTTTTTAAACTGCAACATTAACACCCCTCCTTCAGAGTGCAGCACTGTACTTCCCATCTCCAGGACTCAAGTCCAGCCTGCCGGTTTCCCTGAAACCCCTTCATAAATGTTACTTTGCTCACACTCCACAGCACGTCAAGTATTAAAAACCATTTGCCTCCATTCACTCCTATCAAACACACTCACGCATGCCTGCTGGAAGTCCAAGCCCCTCGCACACAAAACCTCTTTACACCCTCCCTCCAACCTTTCCTAGGACGACCCCACCCCGCCTTCCTTCCACTACAGACTGATTACATTCTTGAAGTAACTCTGATTCGCTCCATTCTCTCTACAATGTCCGAACCACCTCAACAACCCTTCCTCAGCCCTCTGGACAAACAGTTTTGGTAATCCTGCACCTCCTCCTAACTTCCAAACTACGAATTCTCTGCATTATATTCACACCACACATTGCCTCAGACATGACATCTCCACTGCCTCCAGCCTTCTCCTCGCTGCAAACATTCCCTCACCCACGCTTCACACCCATATAAGAGCGTTGGTAAAACTATACTCTCATACATTCCCCTCTTGCCTCCAAGGACAAAGTTCTTTGTCTCCACAGACTCCTAAGTGCAAACCCCTCACCCTTTCCCCTCATCAATTCTATGATTCATCTCATCTTTCATAGACCCATCCGCTGACACGTCCACTCCCAAATGTCTGAATACATTCACCTCCTCCATACTCTCTCCCTCCAATCTGATATCCAATCTCTCATCACCTAATCTTTTTGTTATCCTCATAACCTTACTCTTTCCCGTATTCACTTTTAATTTTCTTCTTTTGCACACCCTACCAAATTCATCCACCAATCTCTGCAACTTCTTTTCAGAATCTCCCAAGAGCACAGTGTCATCCAGCACAGTGTCATCAGCAAAGAGCAACTGTGACAACTCCCACTTTATGTGTGATTCTTTATCTTTTATCTCCACGCCTCTTGCGAAGACCCTCGCATTTACTTCTCTTACAACCCCATCTATAAATATATTAAACAACCATAGTGACATCACACATCCTTGTCTAAGGCCTACTTTTACTGGGAAATAATTTCCCTCTTTCCTACATACTCTAATTTGAGCCTCACTATCCTAGTAAAAACTCTTCACTGCTTTCAGTAACCTACCTCCTACACCATACACCTGCAACATCTGCCACATTGCCCCCCTATCCACCCTGTCATACGCCTTTTCCAAATCCATAAATGCCACAAAGACCTCTTTAGCCTTATCTAAATACTGTTTCACTGTAAACACCTGGTCCACACACCTCCTACCTTTCCTAAAGCCTCCTTGTTCATCTGCTATCCTATTCTCCGTCTTACTCTTAATTCTTTCAATAATAACTCTACCATACACTTTACCAGGTATACTCAACAGACTTATCCCCCTATAATTTTTGCACTCTCTTTTGTGCCCTTTGCCTTTATACAAAGGAACTATGCATGCTCTCTGCCAATCCCTAGGTACCTTACCCTCTTCCATACATTTATTAAATAATTGCACCAACCACTCCAAAACTATATCCCCACCTGCTTTTAACATTTCTATCTTTATCCCATCAATCCCGGCTGCCTTACTCCCTTTCATTTTACCTACTGCCTCACGAACTTTCCCCACACTCACAACTGGCTCTTCCTCACTCCTACAAGATGTTATTTCTCCTTGCCCTATACACGAAATCACAGCTTCCCTATCTTCAATCAACATTTAACAATTCCTCAAAATATTCCCTCCATCTTCCAATACCTCTAACTCTCCATTTAATAACTCTTCTCTCCTATTTTTAACTGACAAATCCATTTTTTCCTCTAGGCTTCCTTAACTTGTTAATCTCACTCCAAAACTTTTTCTTATTTTCAACAAAATTTGTGATTAGCATCTCACCCACTCTCTCATTTGCTCTCTTTTTACATTGCTTCACCACTCTCTTAACCTCTGTCTTTTTCTCCATATACTCTTCCCTCCTTGCATCACTTCTACTTTGTAAAAACTTCTCATATGCTAACTTTTTCTCCCTTACTACTCTCTTTACATCATCATTCCACCAATCGCTCCTCTTCCCTCCCGCACCCACTTTCCTGTAATCACAAACTTCTGCTGAACACTCTAACACTACATTTTTAAACCTACCCCATACCTCTTCGACCCCATTGCCTATGCTCTCATTAGCCCTCTATCCTCCAATAGCTGTTTATATCTTACCCTAACTGCCTCCTCTTTTAGTTTATAAACCTTCACCTCCCTCTTCCCTGATGCTTCTATTCACCTTGTATCCCATCTACCTTTTACTCTCAGTGTAGCTGCAACTAGAAAGTGATCTGATATATCTGTGGCCCCTCTATAAACATGTACATCCTGAAGTCTACTTAACAGTCTTTTATCTACCAATACATAATCCAACAAACTACTGTCATTTCGCCCTACATCATATCTTGTATACTTATCCCCTTTTTCTTAAAATATGTATTGCCTATAATAAACCCCTTTCTGTACAAAGTTCAATCAAAGGGCTCCCATTATCATTTACACCTGGCACCCCAAACTTACCTACCACACCCTCTCTAAAAGTTTCTCCTACTTTAGCATTCAGATCCCCTACCACAATTACTCTCTCACTTGGTTCAAAGGGTCCTATACATTCACTTAAAATCTCCTAAAATCTCTCTCTCTCCTCTACATTCCTCTCTTCTCCAGGTGCATACACGCTTATTATGACCCACTTTTCGCATCCAACCTTTACTTTAATCCACATAATTCTTGAATTTACGCATTCATATTTTCTTTTCTCCTTCCATAACTGATCCTTCAACATTACCGCTACCCATTCCTTTGCTCTAACTCTCTCAGATACTCCAGATTTAATCCCATTTGATTCCCCCACCGAAACTCCCCTACCTCCTTCAGCTTTGTTTCGCTTAGGGCCAGGACATCCAACTTCTTTTCATTCATAACATATAAATATATATATATATATATATTATATATATATATATATTATATAATATATATATATAACATTATATATAATATATATATATTATATATATATATATATATATATATATATACATATATATATATATATATATATATATATATATATATATATATATATATATATATATATATATATATATATATATATATATATATATATATATATATACAATTTTTTATTAACACACGCGTTTTCCCACCAAGGCAGGGTGGCCCGAAAAAGAAAAAAACTTTCACCATTATTCACTCCATCACTGTATTTCCAGAAGGGTGCTTTACACTACAGTTTTTAAACTGCAACATTAACACCCCTCCTTCAGAGTGCAGGCACTGTACTTCCCATCTCCAGGACTCAAGTCCGGCCTGCCGGTTTCCCTGAATCCCTTCATAAATGTTGCTTTGCTCACACTCCAACAGCACGTCAAGTATTAAAAACCATTTGTCTCCATTCACTCCAATCAAACACGCTCTTGCATGCTTGCTGGAAGTCCAAGCCCCGCGCACACAAAACCTCCTTTACTACCTCCCTCCAACCTTGCCTAGGCCGACCCCTACCCCGCCTTCCTTCCACTACTGACTGATACACTCTTGAAGTCATTCTGTTTCGCTCCATTCTCTCTACATGTCCGAACCACCTCAACAACCCTTCCTCAGCCCTCTGGACAACAGTTTTGGTAATCCTGCACCACCTCCTAACTTCCAAACTACGAATTCTCTGCATTATATTCACACCACACATTGCCCTCAGACATGACATCTCCACTGCCTCCAGCCTTCTCCT